GAGGAAAAAGGTACACTCATACATTGCTGGTGAGACTGCAAACTAGGTGCAGCCAATTTGGAAGGCAGTATGGAGATTCCTTGGAAAGCTGGAAATGGAACCACCATTTGACCCAGCTATTCCTCTTCTTGGACTATACCCAAAAGACCTAAAAACAGCCTACTACAGGGACACAGCCACATCAATGTTTATAGCAGCACAATTCACAATAGCTAGACTATGGAGCCAACCTAGATGCCCTTCAATGTATGAATGGATTAAAAAATGTGGCATATATACACAATGGAATATTACTCAGCACTAAAAAATAACAAGATCATGGCATTTGCAGGGAAATGGATGGCATTAGAGCAGATTATGCTAAGTGAAGTTAGCCAGTCCCTAAAAAACGAATGCTGAACGTCTTCTCTGATATAAGGGGGATGACTCAAAAATGGGGTAGGGAGGAAGAACATGAGAAGAAGATTATCACTAAATAGAGAAGAGAGGTGGGAGAGAAAGGAAGGGAGAAGGGGAATTGCATGAAAGATAGGAGACCCTCATCATTATACAGAATACATGTATAACGATGTAAGGAAAAAGAAAAACAAAAAGAAGTGTGTCACATTAGATTGGGTAGAGAGAAGTGATGGGAGAGGAGGGGAGGGGAAAGGGGGAATGAAAGGACAGCAGAATAAAATAGACATTATTATTGCTGTATGTATATACGTGACTGCATGACCAATGTGATTCTGCAACCTGTACACTCAGAAAAATGAGAAATTATATCCCATCTGATTCAAATGTATGATATGTCAAGATCATTGAACTGTCATGTGTAACTAATTAAAACAAACAAAAAAGAATTATTTGCATAATAAAATCAATCTTTCACATCACAAAAACAAAACCAAAACAAAATAGACTATAAAAACAACATTCCAGTAATGCACAAAGAGGTGTCTTAAATTATGCCTACTTATATTAAAAGTAACACCTCAAATACTGAGTGTGACTTCAGGTAAGATACTTGACATCAGTTACATTCAGAGGCTGAGACCCTCTGGCATAGGGATATTGTTTTCATGATAATTTGTTGCAAAATGCTTAGCCCAGTGCCTGGCATAAGGTAAACATTCAATGAATGTATTGTAATTTGCTAGGTAGGCTGCATATGGCCTGAAGTTTGTAAATTATTTTTTTACTTTTCTGGAACATTCCCTGTTCTTCCCAACTCATCCTCCTATTCTCTTTTCATGTTTTCTTTCTAATCTGATTATAAACTAAGAAATTAACTTCTACTCTACAGACTTTAAGAAATGGGTATAAAAGTAGTTTCTAAGTGAAGGCTTGGGGACCTATACTTAGGACAAAAGTGCATGGATTTCTGCATGTTGACTGCTTAGAGGCTTTCTTAATTCCTATATTCCCAGTTATGTTCCAAGAACAGAGCTCTGACACATGAATGACCTCTGCATGTTGTTTCTATTATATCATAGTTAGGTATTGAAAAAAGTTGCCTCATTAGCTGCTATAGTTTGGATCTGGAATATCTCCCACAGGTGCATGTGTTAAAGGCTTGATCCTTACCTTGGCGCTTTTGGAAAGTGGTAGAACCCTTGATGTGGGGCTTACTGCAAGGTCTTTAGATCATTGAGTGTGTGTCCTGAAAGGGACCCTTGTGTCTTTCAATTTCTCTTTTACTTCCTAGACTTGAGGTGAACAACATTGTTCTGCCACATGCTGCCCACAATGAGGTAGTTCCCTGAAACAGACTCCAAAGCAATAGGGCTAATCAATCATGGACTAGAACTTCCAAAATTGTGAACCAAAATAAACATTTTATTAAGGTGATTATTTCAGTATTTTTATTACAATAACAAAGATAACACCTTAACTATTTCATTTACAGTGTTTAGTAATCCCTTAAATTTTAAAATGCTTTAAGTGCTCAATCTAATCAGCAGAACCTAGAATGTCCTTAATGAAAACATATCATAGTATTTGTAAATAAGCTTTGAGAAGTTATACTCAGATCTATGGATTTTAAGCACATAATATTTTTAATACTTATGAATAAGAGTTTTTAATAGTTAGACTTAAGGAAGACAAAATCTTTCAAAGGGAAAATGTCATTTTTTAAAAAAATATTTTTATTAGTTGTTAATGAACCTTTATTCCTTTATTTTATTTACTTATTTGAATCAAACCCAGTGCCTGACATATGCTAGGCAAGCACTCTACCACTGAGCCACAACCCCAGCCCGGAAAATGTCATTTTAAGTGTAGCTTTTCCTAAATCTTTTTTTTTTTTTTTTAATGACAGGCACTGTTGGTTCTCTCCTTCTTCCATACTGGCAACCACCCACCACTACATCCTGGTTACATGACCATGCAGCAACATACATTTCCTAATTTCTTTTGGACCTCTTGTGGCCAAGTTCTGGCCAATGAGTTTGTGTAATTTCCTTTCTCTTCAGGCTAGAGCTATATTTGTGGCTTACCATTGGGTTATTACACAAGGGTGAAATAAATTTTTGTCTCAAGTCATTATTATTTTGGATGGGCCAATACAAAAACTTTATTTCAATAACACATTGAATAAACTGTCAAATATTTAAATCAGTTGTCATTTTAAGGTTCCTGAAAGTTTCATTTTCAGCCATTCTGCACAGTGATAATACTTATGTAATTCTTAACCAAGATTAGATGGAAAAAATTAACAATTTTAAAAACACAAGCTTGAGCAATAGTTTTTGTTCTATTAGGGCTGTACAATATTATTAAAATAACAGAAATAACAATGTGATGAATTGAGTCCCATCATCTGAAATAGCAGGCCAAGGTTTAGTTTCCCAGGGCTAAATCTCCCAGCATCTAGGTATTAGCCATGTGCAAATTTAGCTGTAGATAAAAGACATATTCCGTTATCAGAGGTCTTGGCACAATGGGTTTTTGTTAACTCTGGACTGACCCTTGCAGACTCTCAAGCTCCAGAACGTTATGCCTGTGAATGATCTCAACTATTCCAGAGGTGTGTCACTGGATTACATGCAATATTAGGCCTTGCTTTTTTACCTAAAGAAATCTGTTTTAGTCTAGAGAAGTTAAAAAAAGGAAGCAATGTTTTTAGTCCAACTACAAACCTGCACTCATCTTTTTAGAAGCTCTTCCTTCAAAGGTGAAAATAGTCATGAGAATAATAATGTCAATAGCTATCTTTAAATCTTAACTTGATAGTATTATTACATTTCCTAAAATAAAGGCTGGGAAGGCAAATATTTATTTACACTGCAAGACAGTAGCATCTCCTCCATCAAATTATGTGATCCATAATGGAGGGATGTTTACTGCTAATATTGCCAGTACTTAGGAAGGCTCTCAATGAATCTAGAATGTATGTGCCTTGGGATTTAACAGTTATGACTACTTATTTTTAGAAACTTTAGAAATTCTCCTTACATATAATAAATGAGTTTGGGGGTTCTTTAGTTATTTTAGATTTCTGTATGACAGAATGTATTTTGTTTGGTCTATGGTTAATAATTAAATTGACAATCTCAGGGCTGGGGTTGTGGCTCAGTGGCAGAGCACTTGCCTAGCATGTGTGAACACTGGATTTGATTCTCAGTACCACATATAAATAAATAAATGTCCATCAACAACTAAAAAAAATGTGTATACACACACACACACACACACACACACAATCTCATTTTTTACCAGAGGAATCCTAGAATGGAAGCCCACCTCTTCTGTCACTCCTTGTTTCATTGTGGAAAACTCAAGTCTCTGCTCAGTTTTTTCTCAGTTGTAAAAGGAAGGAAATGCTTTCTATTGTGTGAAATTGTTTCCACACAACATAAAATCATCACTTTTTGACAAAAAAGTGATTTAATGTTATATAATCATAACCTTATATTTTAATCAGTAAAAGGCTGAAAAATACTATGCAAAAGCTTTTATTCTACATAATTAGCAAATAATTCTGAGAACTATTTCTTGGGGAAAATTTCAAATTTAGCCATTTTAATCAAATGAGAAACTTTATTTTTAAATATCTAATCACATAAGCAAGTCTCCCCAATTCCTCACTCTGAATAATTTTTCCAGTCAGGTATTAGTATCACTGACTTTTAATGGCTCAGCTAAAGAAATAAAGTATGAAATCCTAATACAGTATTTTGTATGTTTGACTGGAAATCATATATATTAAATTTAATTGTTCATATACAAAGGTTTTGGCCTTCAAAAATAGCAATTTTATATGGCACAAAATAAATGTATTTAGTATTAAATACCATGAATTAGAAATAATAGCCAAAGCCTCCCAGTTGTTCCTTCTATTCTTATCATTTCCTGCCTGTAGGGGTGTGGTGGGTGTTTCTTCTAAAATTTCACAATCTTGTGTGGCAGGAATTTGTGTCTCTCCTACATAGCAATTTGCAACTTATGGTTTAAATGACTATTTTTTGTTTTGTTAACTATTCTAAGAAGCTAATATGAAAAAATAAGTGTTTTATAGAGAGAATATACTGGAAATTCCTTAATGTTCCTGAATTATTTAACTCAGTGGTTCAAAAACTTTATAATGTTCATAATAATCTATAGAGAACTGGTTAAAACAGGTTTCTGGGCCCTAAACCCAGAGATTCTGATTCAGTAGGTGAGAGTGGAGCTTCTGAATTTTACTTTCTACCAGATTCAAAAATTATGTTTGGTTTCATACTTTGAGAACCTCTGAGCTTGGGTCTAGAAGACTATTTGTAACCAGGCATTTTCTCTTTGGTCTTTCAGCAAATAAAACTAAAGCTTATGAGGTTTGAAATAAATTTCCTTAAAGCCATTTTCTCGTTAAAGTAGTATATATTAGCTCAGTTGTAAGGTAATTAAAAATTCCAGTTGCTTCAGTCTACAACTCAGGATAACTCCGAGGAATTTGTTCACCTGTCCACTCTATAGAACGGTACTGTGTTCTGTCCTGCCAATGGGGCAAGGGTCGCTCCAGACTTACCCTTGGAGCTTTGGCCCTAATGGCTTCACTTGCTTTATCAAAGGCAGAGCGTCCTACTTGACAAACAGCAGGAGGCTGATAGAGAAGCGCGGGGGGTGCCAATCTAAGAGACCAAGCCTGACATGCTGCGGTGAGTCCACCTACTGCCACCCTCGAGTGAGTTTTCTCTCCAGAGACCTTTCCTGAGCGCAGGGAGACCAGTCGAAGGGAAAGGCCACCCAGAAGCAGCGAAGTAGGCAGCGTCCCACCCACCAGAGATCTAGTAGGGAGCCAGTGCCTGAACCGCCGTCTCTGGGTAGTCCCTGGATTGCCGGCGCCCAGGAAACCACCCGCCAGAGGGCCAACCCAGCACCGACTGTTATCCGGAGAGGCGGCGCAGGCCAGGATTCAGGAGCGAGCTTGATCTCTCATCCCAGTCCCCTCCCTCCTTCTCCGGCTGTGAAGATGTCCGCCAAGCCCGAAGTTGGATTAGTGCGTGAGGCTTCTCGGCAGATCGTGGCCGGTGGTTCAGCTGGTAAGGCCCGGGCCCCGCTCTGCTCGGCTCAGCCGGAGACTAGTCCTTTGCCCCATTGCGTGCCCCGAAAACATTTCTCAGACAAGCTTCCCTGCCCAAGTTTTATCCTCTTTCTTAAAATTCTGCGCGGCCGGTTCAATACCTGAGCCCGCAGAGCACAAGGGCAAAGGAAGCCAGAGCGTGCTGAGAGTGCCCTGTGTCCTAGATAAAGTCGCCTCGGCACTGATGCCAGCAGCTCTTGGGTTCCTGGCCTTCTCTGTTCCTAGGCTGCAAGAGGCGGGCAGCACCAAGTCTTGTAATTTGAAGGAAGTCTTTTTTGCTTTGCTGGCTATTTTGTTCTGTTTTACTTAAGTTTGCTAGCACTTGTAGATTCTCTCCAAGGTAGCACAGATCTTACACAGATCCTTCCTTGCTCATCAGAGTATTAGGTATGACTCCGCAGGGCTTCTTATTGCTTTCCGCAGGGCTTCTTATTGCTTACCATTCTTTCTTGGGAATATAATTGCGCCATAAATAGGCATATTAAAATTAAATGCATATTTTAACACACAAACAGTTGGTATAATGGAATTACAATTTATGGAGAGTTATGCTGTAGGAGAAAGAAGAAAAACCGTTAGCAAATGATATGTTATAACCATTCTTGGCAATAATTGTGTTAAATGTAGCTGGGGAAATTTACCATGAAATTATGCACATAGATTTTTAAAAATATTTAAAAGTGTAATTGATTAATTTAATCTTGCATACAGTGGTGCGTTTTATTATAAATACATAACAATTACCATAACAAATAAATACCACAATTTAATAAGTGTGATTATTCCTTTAATAAATTATGATGATACTAATAAATCATATTAAGACAAGGACAAGAAAATGTTTAATGTTGATTAGTAAAATTTACTATATTTTAAAACAGATTTGGGCTATTTATAAAGGACTACTACAAATTATGACCAGTTTCATTATGTTGAATCTTAGGGGTACCACAAGCAACTAGATGTGTCACAATGTGTACACTTTTCTGAAGTTCATATCTCATTATTAATTATTAGTAACAATTGAGGCATTCATTTCTTATAGGTAATTGTGGATTGTCCACCCATTATGATGTCAGTGACCCTACTGCCTACTTTTTAAGTTGTTTCCCAGTAGTGGTGATGAACTTGCACTGATTTATTCACAATTTTTGGTGGATTTCACAATGGCCACGGCTCTGCTAGCTCTACCTGACTCACTTTATTCCCAGTCTGTGACCTTGATCAAAGAAAACTCACTTGTCCCAGAGGGAAAGTTGGAGCCAGTTGGTTAACATCTTAAGCTATGAACAGTGATTAATAAGCATCTGTATATTGGTGATTAATAAGCATCTGTATATTGGTTTAGATAATAATAATATGTATTAGGCACAGCTAAACTCAAAGGATGTTAAAAGTAGATTAAAATTTAATCCTATTTATGGTGTTTTGTTGGATAAGTATTTGGCATACATATAATGCATGATGCCATCATATAGTCTTATGATTGTAACTAGTATGAATGAAAATTAGGACATTTATAAGATAACTTTAAAATAGTAGAATGGTTAATTTATATAGTTTGTACTATGGGGTTTTTGATAAGTGATGAGAGTAATTTATACTTTCATCAGAGTGAAAAAGAGTACTTGGCCAAAAGCATTTCCATAAGACTTTATTGTAACTGTAATAAATGCAATAATCCTTTTGCATATACTAGATCAAGGGTCAGAAAAAATCAATATACAAGAGAAGCATAATTTTAATAAAAAGAAGATGCATTTGAATTTCTAGCACAGGAATTCTGATTTCTGGTACTATCATCTCTCTGTGTATTATATGATCTTCTGGTTGTAAAGTTCAAAAATACATTGTAAGGGAATGTTCTCTTAAGAGAAAAAATATATAAACTGGGGAGGTTTATTGGAGAGCTAGCAGCATGTCTCATGGCATTTAAGGTCCAGTGTGCATTTCTGAAGAGGAGAAGGAAGTAGATTCTCTTCAGCTCTTACTTCTTTTCTTTGTCAAATGGTCAAACATCCCCAAGGCAGCAGGTTGGTGGCTAATAATAGGGCCATAGTGTTACTACTACAGCTGTTAGGATGGCTTGGCCTACTCCACACATTTGCCTGATAAAGAAAACATGCTCAAGTGGATTTAGTTCATTACAGCTGAAGTAAGTCATATTGTACCTAGTACTCCAGACAACACTGACCTGAAGAGGTCGGATGATAGACTATGAGTGACTGGCCCCTTGCTGTTGAGGACCTACCTCTGAACCACAGCTGAGTAGCTTTATAGATTTGTGATGAAGTCTACAGCTGTAACATAGATAGGGGTGAGATGGAAAGTCATGTGCTTCACTGAAACCAAGGAAATGGATGAGAAAGGCCTTGCAGCAGTCTTCCATTAGATAATAGTCTTCCTTTAGGGAGGAAAAGCTGCCTTTCAGCAGCTAACAGGGCAGCTTGTCTTTGTTTCACTTGGATAACTCACAAAGCATTCTGTCAAGACCAGATTAGGCTATGATTGGGCCTTGCCATCCTGGCTTATATAGAGATATCCAAGTTTGTCAGGGTGTACACTTGACAAACAGGGAGAGTTATTTCTCTGTGCCATCTTGGTATCCTGAGCATTGTTGTTTCTTGTAGGTAACTACTGTTTTCAGCTTTCATTGAGCTCTTCTATGTGACAGAACCTGGTCTCCAACAGCTTTTAAATATCCATGCCTTTGACTTCTGTTCCCTGGTAAACATCAGAGACTGACTTGCTTTCTTTTAATTTTTGTCCAAAATCCTAAGGAAAGACTCAAAACAATCCAGAGTTGACAGGGTTCCACCTCTACATCAATCAGCTCTAGCCAATCCCCTTGTGAATGTGTGGTGCTGTTGTGCCAGATTTGTGGGACCCCAATAGACCTCCAGGAGCCGAATCTGATGCAATCACACAAGAGTCTTTATTGCAAGCTCGAGCCTGGACTCACAGCCATTCCCAACACAGCGGTCCCAGGGAGTGAGTCCTGGTCCTTTGTTCAGTGAGATTTTATGTTTTGGGGGGATACTCTATGCGTCACAACATCACACAACAAATCATTCCATACCATGGGAAAATCAAACAACAACTCTTAACATTGATTAGCACATTCAATGGCAGAAACAAGTTGGGTAGGGTGATTGGTTAACACAAGAGGGGGGGTTCCTTTGAACTGATTGGTTTAGGCCATGAGGGGTGTACGTGCTAAACTACATGGTTTCCCAACATGTTATCAACCACCATAAGCTACTTGGGGGTCATCTTGCATTCCAGGTATTTTCCCTGTCTCATGCTGATTGAAGGTTGCTAGGGGAGTTCCTATGGGTCCTAGCCTGAGTCAGGGACACCTGGCGCCACAGACCTCTCCTGTTATTTACAGACAAACAACTTAGCAGGGTGGGTATGTGTTTAGGAGTGCTCTGTGGGTTTTTCCAAGGACAAAGTTCACTCCCCCTTCCTTAGGCAGGCTTTGCTCTGAGGTAGAGGCTTGTTTCTCAAAAATGGAGTCACATTAGTTTTTCATTCCACCCTTTGTCTGGAAACTTGGGAACCAATCATGGTTCCCTCAGTTGGAGGTCTATATGGGCAGGCCTTACATCTTGGTAGGATTCTCCTTCTGAGTCTAGGGCTTGATAGTGGGTACACAGAACCAATATCTGAACTGTTTACTCTGTTCTTGATGAAAGCCATTAGCTTGTTCACAAGTGGTCCTAAGGTTGACACTAGAGTAAACAGTAACCCTCAGGGGACAGTCCTTAACTTTCCAGACTCACTCAAAATTGGCCTCCTGACTCGATTTACCTATCTACACTGTCTATCTATTTCTGGCTTCATTCCCCCTTTAATTTTAGGAACTCCTTATTGCTGTAAGGAGAAGGGGCAATGGCTCATTCTGGCTGCTTCAGAGCTAATATAGGGCATCGAACATGAGGGGGCTCGACGTGAGAGACGACGTGGGGGATGTGAGTTCCCTTTTAGAAGTCAGTTCAGTTTGAAGTCTGGTTGGGGAAGAACAGGTTGTAAAGTCATCTGGGGATGGGTGCTTCTATGAGAGAAACAAAAACCATGAGTACTGAATAAATGTTACAGCAGTTGGAACATGTCACTGTATAGAAGTTCCCTCACCAGGCTTTAACATCCCCAGTTATCAGGACTGTAAACATAACATTTAACTTTTAGTGTTACAGATGTCCTTCCCCATAAGATACAGTTTAATAATTTAATGTCATCTGATATTGCAAGATCCTTTTACTAGTATGACCTCTGTGTCTAATAGAGAAACCTTTAGTTCTGTTACTCAGGGCTGGATAATCATACTAGCAAACACCAAGTCTACCTGTGTAGGTTAGGAGTATCTGTAGGCCTTAAACTAAAAACTTCTGTCTCTGGCAGCTCCTCTTGATAGTTTCTTTTGATAATTATCAGGCATTCTTGCCTAAGAATCTCTTCTGTAGCCTCCAGTCTTACTTATTCTTGGGGGCTAACACAAGGTGTAAACCTTAAGTTACATTTAACTATTATTATTATTATTTAAAATGCCCAGGAATAGCTGTGTTTTGGTTTTAACTGTCTTTGCTAAGTATTTAAGATGAAGCAAGTCAAAATGACTTTTGTTTCTATCTATTGTTAACAGCTGAGTTTCCATGGGAATCCTGGGGGAACTTTGGAGCAGCTTTTCAGTTCTGCTAGTGCCATTTGCGCTAGGATGGATCCAGGTTTTGCTTGACCATGTGGGTTCCCTTGGAAGCATCAGGGATGTCTCCCTTCTCCGGTGAGAAGCAAATGCACTGATTGGCTTTCTGTTCTCAAGTAGTCTCATTAATCTCCCTGATGGGGAGGTTATGTGGCCCAGAGTTGCAAAGCTCTTTAGAGAAGTCCCCTGCTCCCTGGATTCAGACTGACTCAGAGGGCAAGAGCCAAACATTGGTTTTCTTGGCCCTTTTAACT